CATTCGCTAGTTCATTGGTTAATATATAAATTTTTTTTATGTAGCAGTTTTAAAATTTTCTTTACTTAAACAATACATGAATAGTTCAATACCCACTGTATTTAGGCAAAGCACTTATCGTCGGAACCACCAGTGCCACAACCGCGGTTTCCACGCCGAACCGAGCAAATTCTCAGGTGTGTAGTATAGTATAAATTGTAAAATATAAATTTAAAATAATGTAAATTAAAAACCTGCCAATCCTCAGCAGTACAAACACCACAGGCAAAGTAAAATAAAAACATATGGTTCCGTTTCAGACATTATTTTTCAATTATGCAGCGCTTCAGTTACCGGATTTGATCAGCACTGAAAAGTCAACCGGTCCTTTGCCATGGGGTTGCGAAGCTGAAATACAAAACCGTAAGCACAGGACAATAAAAAACCACTGACAATATATGAACGCCACCCTTTCACGGAAAGAAATTATAGTTTATTTCTGCCCACTTGAAGAAAACTGCAAAAACAAGTGCTCCGAATACATTGAGATAAAGCCCAAAATGCAGAAACAAAAATCTACTGCCCTTATTCACTCAATAAGCCAAAGCTCGATCTCGCGAACAACCGTTTAACTGAGGACGACATGGCTTTGGCATATTCAACAGTTTGCACCGTTTAGTCTAAGGATTCATCCCGTTGAGCCTATACGCTATATTCCAGGGGACGACTGGAAGATCAAAAGCGATCTGAGTTTCCTCCACCGGATACGTGAAAGTAACAGTGACCTTGGAAAGTATGTGCGGACGCACCTTTCGTTTATTTGCACGACTCTCGCTTACAATTTAGGCTTAGTAAATAAGCTATAGCAAACTATTTTAGGTATTTTTCACCGAGAAAGCCGTAAATGATTGACTGACGTTGGCTGCTCTATTTCGTTAGCTCTTTCCAACAAAAGACAAATGTTACTGTGCAACGATCAAAATATGGGACAGAATGCCAGAGCGAAGCATTGACAAATATTTTCACCTGTTAGGACTATTTTTAGACCCGAAGCTGACATAACAATTGCTCAAACTGAAATTTTATAAAAAACCGTAACTTTTACTCCTTTCTTTATACTAAACGAAAACAGATGCAGATAAAGGTACGCAGGTTCGGCAGGGTTATAAGTAAGGTCGAAGTCGAACACTATGGCTATGACATGGACCATTACAAAATTTCTGTCACTGTAGATCTCATAGGGCTACAGTCTAGGAGAAACGTCGCTCATGAGGGAATTTATAAAAGTCCAGTGGGGGCAGTGCCGGAAACTAAGAAAAAGTAATAGAAAATACACTGTACGTTCTAAATACTTCTCTGTAACAGTAACGAAGCCGGCATGGATCATCTTTAACAACGCTACCCCTTGAGCAATTTTAACGTGGGATCGTACAATGGGGTGGCAATCGATCAGTAGCTAACAAACGGTGGTTGTAAAGAAATTGTCGAAAGAAACAAAAAAAATTTGTTTGGTTTTTCTTGATAGAACTCTTTACAAATGAAAAAAATATTCATTCAGTACACTTTTACTATAATAGACGTAATTTGGTACCTGAAACAGTACGCTATGATGCAGGGCTAATATTGTTTCAGATAGCTTCAATCAAGCGTGGTATTTCTACAGCAATACCACCACCAGCTGTGTGAGCAAACATTAAAACATTGCCTGTACGCGGCTTTCATCTAACCGAATTTGCTCACCTAGGTCAAAACTAAAATATGAATGTCGAATAGCCTCAGCAGGGAACAAAATTCATCATGTTTGGATTACCAGATGGTGAATAACCAACTGAGATGCGGGATCCCGTAAAAGCGTAAAATAGGTCAGCAACATGTAACATCGCCAATTAACGATTTGATGGCACTACCATGATGAAATTATTGCAAGATTCGCCTTCAGGTAAGAAAAGTACGAGCCCTGCGCTCCTGTGTTCTATGGGAATAAATATGCGCAAATTATTTCCATAAATAGTGAAAATCAAATTTTAAACTAAAACCAGCATGAAAACTCTCAGGAAACCGTAGCTCCAAAGATAAATCGGTCTTAAATTAACGACACAGAATAAGTGAAAACAGTGAAAGATTCTAAAAACTTTACCCGTCAATGTGTCCTCGGTAGTTCCGGGAGCTTGATAGGTTTTTTCGTCATCAATCAGAAAATTCAGTTCATCAGTGCTTACTGAACTAAGGTCCAAGTCTATGGAGTTTTGATCACTGTCTAAAACAGAGAAACGTTGCAGAAAAAGCACGTGAAAATTAAGTTTATGCTAAAAGGGCTGTTCGCGTACCGACTGACATCGACAATCCTTCAGAAACACTGCAGTCGCTCTCTGAAAAGCTGGTATCCGTACCAGAACTGGAAACCATCGATGTATCACTAAAACCAATAAGCTTTTAGTCAAATATGGCTCAATTGAAAGCTGGGTTTGGCTTCGATATGTGGCCGTGTAGAAATCTGTACAAACATGAAATGACTTACTTTTTGTTGGATTGTAGGGGGCATGCCTTTCCTCAGAGGAGTACATGGAGAATTATTTTCATTGTAATAACTACCCTGTGATTAATGGAGCGCGTTTCTACTACTATAATTGCACAAAAGTTTGAAAATGGGACATAAACGAGCACTATTTACCGAGATTCCAGTCGTACAAAATATTTACACTAACACCTGCATTTTGCAACAAATTGACGTTTTAATGTAGTCAGTCATATGAACATATGTATATATAACGTTTTCTACATGTTAGTCTTATTAAACAGGTAACAACCTCAGTGGTAACGTACCTGTTATACGACATCCCTGCGAAATTATGTAACATGCGTTTCCACAGTCGAACCTGCATATCCCAAGATCTTCTACTATATTTAAGATACTTATTAGGCGTTTTTGGATGGACGTTCTTGATTCGCTTCGTTCTGAAATGGAGAGACATCGACCAATCGATTAAGAGTATTTTAAACGCAGTTACCGCGGTACAGACTCTCTGTACATTTTATACGCCTCGGTATTGTAACCTTTGGCAAGGTCCTTCTCCCTGCGTTTTATGACATTCGGATCATCTTCCCATCCCTTCTTCGGTTCTTGCCAGTTTTCAGGCAACGGATAACGAATCAGTGGTTGCACGCGTCTAAAAAAAACAAAGTTACAATATGTACACAGCACTGAAATGTAAAGACTGCCTTGAAATAGGTGGTTATAAAATGCAGTACAAATAGAATTTGTTGCAATTTTTGCATCGTTACAATAAACAAATAAAAAACGGTGTACACACTGTTAGCGATTTCCCAGTTAATGCCTATATGACTCCTGCAAGTTCAGTGTATTTTTAGTCCTGACCGGCGAATTTTTAGAGAGCCGTGCATTAAAAAAATTAATTGACAAAAATCGAAATATTTTTCACATGACAGAGTGAAAACATAAATTAGTGTCGTTACTCTATTGAAAATGGTAAACTGTGAAAGGGAACGGTTTAAAATGAATGTTAGGCATCATTTCGACTACCGTTGGTTCTGAAGTTCGTTGCACGATGTTTATCTTTACTCATGTTTCGCCATTTGGGAAAGCCATAATTTTAAGCTACTAATGACAGTTAAACTATTACTACATTATCAAGTGGTCTCCTGTTTTTCTTTCTCGTATAATAGAACCCGTTTTTGCAATTTAAACCGGTGAAAAGAGGGCGAGAACCTGAGCGAGATTTGACTCCGCGATCTCACGATTATGATTTCCTGACCGATGGGTTTCTGACTGCAAATATAAGGCTAAAAGCGTAATAAAATTTCCACAGAAAACCGTCTGTGATAAGAGCTTTGCCAAAATATCCCATGTTGCAAGTTTCTCCTCTGACATTTCGCAGTTACAATGTTAAGAGTTCTTGATCTGAAGGAGGAAAAGGAGAAGGATGATATCCCTGACCTTCATTATCGTCACTGCAACAGTTCACCAGAGTAATCATCAATTCTGGTATTTCTATTCCATATTACACTCTTTAGGTATATATCTGTACACAAAACCAACTGACCATCGGTGAAGATAAATGCGTAGAGATGCCTGATATCTTCGTGTTCTTGCTACACTGCATTATCCACATAAATTAGTTTAGCCCTCGGTATTTCTGCTTTCAGGTAACTCCAGTTCATGCTGTTTACTAATTTTGCTTGCCGTCGCACGAAAAAGCAATGCCACCCCTAGATGCTCTGAATCTCTGAACGTTAGAACGATAGCAACTGCAGGTCAACATCGAACTGTCTGAATAATACAGGTATAGCATAGGAAAACTGAATAATGAAAGTCGTTTGGTATGTAAAATTATCTAGTACCTCTTTGGTCTTTCAGTACTAGAAAAACCGTCACAAGTTTCATCTCCGTTTCCGTTAAACAACGCAGGTTCAATCCTAAAAATGATCCAGATTAAAAGTGACAAAAGTACACGCCAGTGCGGCAAGAAGACTGATCTGAGCAGAAGTACATCCCTAAAGTTTACACAAATCTGCCAATTATTCGCCATTGTTTATTTCTATAGTACTACACTCTGGTACATT